AGACGATGGGATCGGCCTACCCATCTGGTGCCACTACATGGTCTTCCTCTTGCCGCGAGTTCAACCTGGGTGCTGCTATCGGGTGGAGAAGCCACCTCTGCGCCGTCGCAGCGTCGCACACTTACCTCGTGGTATCATTATTCTGCTTCGAAATAGTGTTCAACGTCAGGCTCCCACTCGCTGTCGAGGGTGTGGCTGGGCAGCGTGGAAATATGCATTTGGTTCCAATGCAAGTCGGGTGTTGTGGTGGCTTTGCGGCATCAGCGCTCAGTGGCGCTTCTTGGCCCCAGCGCCAATGGCACAGACGTTGTGTTCACCGTGCGCACAAGCCCATCGTCCTGTCGTTCGTGGGCAGCACCATCACGGTCTTTACGTTCGTGGGCGGCAGCTTCGTGGTCGTCATGCTTGTGGTTTGCAGCTTCGTTGTGTTCATGTTCGTGGGCGGCAGCTTCGTCGAGATCATGTTCGTCCAAGCCTGCGAAACTCCTGTGGCGCTCCCGCTCGTGAACGTCAGCTTCGTGCTGCCCAATCACTACGGCGGATGCTTCGTGGTCATCACGCCCGTGGGCGGCAGCTTCGTGATGTTAGCGCTCGTGGGAAGCAGTATCGTGGCGTTCATACCTGTCGGCGGCAATTTCGTGGCGCTCGCGCTCGTGAACATCAGCTTCGTGGTGTGCAAGCTCGTGGGCGACCTCTTCGCGACGATCGCGCCCGTTTGGCGGCAGCTTCGTGGTGTCCCGCGCTCGTGGCGACAGCTTCGTGGCGTTTACGCTCGTAGGCAGCAGCTTCGTGGCAGTCGGACCCGTTGGCGGCAATGTCGTGGTATTCATGCTCGTGGGCGACAGCTTCGTGATGATCGCGCTCGTAAGCGGCAACCCTGTGGCGTAAACGCTCGTCAGCGACGGCTTCGTGGTGTTCACGCTGGCGGGCATCAGCTTCATGGCCCTCACGCCCGCGCGCTGCAGCTTCGCTGAGCTCCCGCTCGTGGGCGGGGCAGCTTCGGCGAATTCGCGCTCGTGGGCGGGGCAGCTTCGTGGTGTTCACGCTCGTGGACTGTTGCTTCGTGGTGTTCGCGCTCGTGGGCAACAGCTTCTTGGGATTCGTGCACGTGGGCAGCAGCTTCGTGGAATTGACGCTCGTGGGCGGCACCTTCGTTGCGTTCACGCTCGGGGGCGGAATCTTCTTGGTGTTTACGCTCGTGTGCGGCAGGTTCGCGGCCTTCACGCGCGTGGGCTGCAGCTTCGTAGAATCCATGTTTGTGCCCGCGCTCGATGGCCGCAGCATCGTGGCGTGAACGTTCTTAGGCGGCAGCTCCATGGTGTTCACGCTCGTGGGCGGCAGTTTCGCGGTGTTCTCGCTCGTGGGTGCGGGCTTCGTGGGGTTCACGCTTGTGGTCCCTCCTTCACTCGGTGGTGACGCGTTTCGGGTCATCATTATCAGGATAGCCGTCCCGGACGTCGTGCTCGTTCCTCCTCGGGCCCGCAGTGCCCGGGACAGGCCGCTCCTGCCTTCCTCGCAGGTGGTGCTGCACGCGGCGGGGTGCGGCAACACTCGCCGCAGTGCACTGCGAGGTTCAAGCTGGTGCTGTACGCCGGCGTGGAGGCCGCCACTGGTCACCCACTTGTGCCCACGTAGACGTTGATGGTCTCTTGACAGACAGCCATGCGACCATAATTCATCATCATAACCATTACCATCAGCATCAGCATCAGCATCAGCATCAGCATCATCATCATCAGCAGCAGCATCACCGTCACCGTCGTCGTCGTAGTCGTCGTCGTCATCATCATCATCACCATCACCATCATCATCATCACCATCATCATCATCATCAGCATCATCATCATCATCATCATCAGATCAGCAGCATCAGCATCAGCATCAGCATCATCATCATCACCATCACCATCACCATCACCAAAACCATCATCATCATCATCAGCATCATCATCAGCATCAGCATCAGCATCAGCATCATCATCATCATCATCATCATCATCATCATCAGTATCACCATCATCAACCTAATCAGCATCGCCGTCGTCATCATCACTATACTCTTCCTCCTCCTCCTCCTCCTCATCCTCCTCCTCCGTCTCCCTCCCCTCTCCTTTCCTCTTCCCTCTAGTCCCCCTCATCTTTTTTGGGGGGGGCGAGGGGGAGGAACGGAAGACTGCTGCGACGCCGCGACGGGCACACGAGCAATCAATCACACGCCAGCGCGGCGCAAAGCATCTCCGCAAAGATGTCTTCCGGCTGCCAGCTAGGACGATCGCAGGAAAACCACAAACCTCGCAAACAGCAATGGCGTGTCTCAAGGCTTCTCCGCCCCACGTCCGCCACGTCCGAGGCTCCCTACGACGAAAGGCTATGTTTCGTCATGCCATCGAGCGTGGTTGCCAGCCGCTGGGTAAGGCCCCCATGCCAAAATGAAGAATGAGAAGGAGGGGCAGGAGAGAGGAGAAGGAGGAGAAGGAGGGGGGAGAAGGAGGGGGCACGCGGAGAGAGGAGAGGGGGGGGAGCAGAAGGGGAGGAGAAGGGGGAAGGGGAGGAGAAGGAGGGGTGGCACGCGTGCTCCTGGCAGCAGTTTCACAAGGGTAGGCCTAGGGGTAGGCCAAAGGGGAAGGCCTGGGCCAGGCTTTGGGGGCAGGCCTAGGGAAGGCCGTGGGATAAGGCCTAGGAGGAGGCCTGGGTTGGGCCGACAGGTAAGCCCTAGGGGTAGGCCTAGGGTTGGCCTCGGGGTAGGCTCTGGGGGTAGGCCTAGGGTAGGCCTAGGGGTAGGCCCTAGGGATAGGCCCCGGTGGTAGGCCCTGGGGATAGGCCCTAGTGGCATGGCAAGGGGTAGGTCCCAGGGATAGGCCCGAATGGTAGGGCAAGGGAGAGGCCCAAGGGGTAGGGGTAGGTGTAGCATGCCAAGGGTAAGCCTAGGGGTAGGATCTAGGGGTAGGCCCAGGGTAGGCCTGGGGAAGGCCTTGGGGTAGGCCCGACCCTCTGGGGTCTATATGCCCCGCAAAGGCCGAAAGCTATAAATGAACCTCCCCCTTGAGAGTTGTCCACGGCGCGGGGACATCGGGGATTAGCAAAGGTGCCATCGGGAATCAGCTACATGCGACTGGTTTTCCCGACGCCCCCCGGAGCCAGAGAGGCGGCCGTGTCTCGAGGAGTCGGCTAGGCGGCGGGGCCGAGACCAGCTGCACGCAGCAGCTGTTGCAGCCCCCTTCCCTAATCCCCCCATTGCTCGTCCGACCCGAGGTGAAGGGGGTGTGGTTGGCAGGCAGCTCCTGAGACGTCTTCGCAAGAACGACTAGGGGGCTACAAGTCCGACTCTGGGGCCATCACACAGGATCAGCACAAAGTAAGGCTAGGACTGAGCCTGATTCGGCCAGATTAGATCAGACTCAGCCGAATTGTACTGTATTGAGGCAGGGTTGGGGCGGTTTCCGCCCACGGATATACCAGCGCCGATGCAGAATTCAACTTCCCAGGAGTTGAATCCCGACAGCCCATTGGGCTTAGGTGATCTAGCGATATCGTTCCTCTTCCAAAAACCTTCTTCCATTCGGGTAGGGCTACCCTCCCCCATCCACTCCCTGCGGTTTGGTTGGTGGTTCCGCGAGGTGCCAGGGCGCCCAAGATGGCCCAAGATGGCTCCAAGAGGGCGTCCGATGCCCCAAGACGGCCTCCAAGGCGGCTCAGAATAGACCATGTACAGACAATTAACAAATTGCGCCTTCTCGCCCTTTCGCGTCCGATGCGCTTTTAAGGCCTCAAGATGGCTCCAAGATGGCCCAAGAGAGGCCCAAGGGGGCCAAAGAGGACCCCCAGACGGCCCCAAGAGCGCCCAAGAGCGGCCCAACAGCGCCCCAAGAGGGTTCCAGAAGGCGACCGTGATGGCCCAATGGGAAGACGGAAATTTGGGACCCCCCTTCTTTGATCGATAGCCTCCAAGATGGCCTCAAGAGGACATCCAGGGCTCCCAAGAGGGCGGGACCCAAGAGAGCTCCAAGCGAGCCCGAAGACGGTCCCAAGAGAGCCCAAGAGCGCCCTAAGAGCGTCCCACGAGGGACCCAACAGGCGGTTTGCCTCCTCCTCCTCCTCCTCCTCCTCCTCCTCTTTCTCCTCCTCCTCCTCCTCCTCCTCTTCCTCCTTCTCCTGCCCCTTGCCCCCCTGCGGGCCCCGGGGATGGCCCGAAGAGGCCCTCCAAGGCCAGCCCCTCCAGAGATCCATCCGTTCATCCTGGTTGCGAGCTTTGTTTCACTACATGTGTGTCTATTCGTCCCCTTTCCCGTCAGCCATGCTTGGCAACGTTTCTGAACGGACTTGTGGGGATACGCGAAGCGTGACTGATTCCTAAATGCGGGGCGAGACGCGTAGCCCCCGAGCGGGGCCAGATCCGAGAACGCAGGACAGTACCGGGGGGACCCCTGTGGACCCGCACCAGTGGTCGCTCCGACCAAGGGCCACTTATAACACTTATACCAGCAAAGACGCGCCCACAAAACAAGGGCATGGTCTGCCATGAAGGAAGCGGGTCCTGACGGAAACGGGTCCTGGATCCCCCGGGGGGCTGTTCCCCCAGACAGGCTCAGCGGCCTAATGATTCTGTTGGTGGTCCGGGGGTCCCGGGGAGGGCCCCGATGGCCCGAAAACGGTGACAAGCATGAAAGGTTAGGTTGGGCATGAGAATTTGGATGACAAGTGAAAAATGTAGAACATATGCAGGAACCTTGCGATTAACAAGTTCAAGCAAATCGTCCCCCGACTATTTTTTGAATATGTTTGAATACTCCCCCTGTGGAGGGGCACGCCCGACTTGATGGTGGTCCGGGGGCCTGGGGAGGGCCCCGATGGCCCGAGCACGGTTGAAACAACATGCAAGGACCCGACTCCTCGGGACCCGCTTGCTCCAGGGCGGGCAGGGTGAAACGGCGTGAAGCGCGAGCAGCCCTCTCACTGCAAGATGCCCGGCAGGTCACAGCCGGCGCTGGCCCCGAGGATGTCTATGGATGCCTTCTCGGTATGCTCGCCGTGACTCGAGCTGGTGGCCTCGCAGGGCGGAGGGAGGAGGAGGAACGAGGGGGGAAGAGGACTGAGGAGTGGTAAGGGAGGAAAGAGGAGGAGGGAGGAGGGAACATGGAGGAACGAGGGAGAAGAGGAGGAGGAGGAGGAGGAGGAGGAGGAGGAAGGAGAGGAGGGTGAAGGGGGTGAGAGGAGGGAGGGGAGGAACGACAAGCCAGGCGCGCTCGCGTCATATGGTTTCACGGTTTCACGTTTGTGTCTGAAGGCCAAACGGGGCTCGGCGACAGACAGAAAATATGGAGAGGGGTGGCTAGGGAAGCACCATGGAGAAGAAGGAAGGCCAAGAGGAGGGAGGAAGAGAGGGAAGGAGGATAATGGTGCTTCCGGAATCCCCAGGAAAGGCGGCTTGCCCGCGGCCCCCGCCATGGGCCTGCCCAAACGCGGAACTGGCACCTCGCCCAGCCGCACTGTCCGTGGGGTGACCTCGGAACCCTCCACCAGCCCTCCCCTGTCCCCAGCCCTCCCCTCGAGAACTCTGCAGGCTATGACGGAGAAACCTGCTCATGCATTCTGCTTCAGGAGGGGGGGAGGAGATGAGGCACAGAGACCCTCGACAGCTGGAATTATAAGCTCTTCGCTGTTTAGGGAATCGGAGGCCTGCGCTGCCCCCGCCGTGCAAACCCAACGTGGCGTCCTCCTCCTCGGGGGCGCCATGCTGGGCGGCAGGGCAGGGCGGCTCACCGCAGGCTCTCCTGGTGAGGCTCGTGGCGAGAAATTGCGAGAGCGCCTTCAAAGACGCCTCGTGCGCAAGCATGCCCTGGAAGCGGGCTTCGACCGCAATCAAAAACGGGTCGCTGGCGTCCTCCTTGGACGGGCCACTCAGCCCACTGACAAAGAGCAGGGTCTCGATGGTCGGGATGGCGGTCCTGAGTTTGAGCTTGCCAAAGGTCTTGGCATCCTGCTTGGGAGGAGCTGCAAGCTTGATGGTGTGATCTCTGACGTCCAAGGCCTCCGTTGTAGAGAAAGCCTCTTTCTGGTCGGACTCCTGATCGTCGTCGACTGCACCAGCGGACTCCTCCTGAGCACCCTCCAACTCCACGGGGGCAGCTCCTGGGGGCAGCTGCAGTTTCAAGTCCACGGCCGAAGCGGCGCTGTTGATGAAGCTTCCGACCTCTGAAGCCTCCTCGATGGAGAAGCCGTCCTGGTCAGATGCATGCTCGTCGTTGGCTGCACCAGCAGACTCTTTCGTGCAAGCCCAGCCTTCCGTGACCTCGCCAACGATGGTCATCATGCTCTGGTTGACCTTCTGGGCGAAGAGGCTGAGCAGGTCTGCCCGCAGCGTGAGGAGAAGATCCTTGATGTCCTCCGGCATCTTTACATTCGAAGCACCATCCGCCTCCGAACCGATGTCGAAAACTCGGTCTGATCACCCGTCGAGGTCGACTTACTGGAGACCTTGGTCCGTTCGATGTGCTGGGGTTGCACCTTTTCCGTAGCCTGGTGTTCAAGTTCCCGCTTGAACAGCTCGCTCTCCTCGTCGAGGGCGGCGTCCTCCGAGGCCGACTCCATGGGGGTGCAACCACCGCTGCCTTCCAGCAGTGGCTTGCGAAGGGCTTGCAGGACCTTCTGCGGAAAGCCTGCGGCGGGTAGATGGGCCAACGCTCGCCACCCCTGCCGCCAGAGCACGAAATCCTTCGCGAGGTCTCTCTGCCCCCGTTGAACCAAGCCTCGCCGAACGTCCTCCGTCTGGACCTTCCTGTCGAGGCCGAGGGAGCCCTGCGCCTCGTCCAGCAAGGACTGGAACTCCTCGAGTTGTTGCATCTCGCCCTGCCCGCCGAGCTTGGCCATGAGTTCGGCCGCTTACTGGACGGACCGCACGTGGGCCACGCAAGAACCGTGCCGGACATGAATGCCACAATCGCGCGCCATGTCCGCACCGGTGGGTGAATCGCGCACCTGGAGGGCCGCGCAGCGCCGTATAATGACAAATGCAGTAGGTGGACAATAAGAGTCTTGAGCCCAAATGGCTACGGCGCTCGCGTCGTATCTGACGTCCTACCCCTTCCTCCCATCCCTTACCATGGCGTAGCCTCTCGGGCCGCACAGTCGGATGTCGATCGGGGCAATGATCGCGAGAGGGTGCGCGATTAAGGGTAGAGCTCGGCATGGCATGGCGTAGAACAGCACGGCAAAACGTAGCGTGCCATTGCGTGGCGTGGCATTGCGCAATGAAGCACTGCATTAATTACCAAGCGTTGCAACGCAAATGATGGCCTCACACAGCTGCGCAGAACACAACACCGCACAGCATGTCATGGCATGGCGTCAAGTTCTTTCGGGGGTAAGTGGATCGTCTTCGAGAGGTCTGGGCCGGTCTGGAGTCGTGGCTCCATGTCTAGCTCCTTGAGCTCCCCGATAAGCTCCACACAAGGCGATGTTGATGGAGAGCACCCGCTGACTCTGCCTGCAACATCGCCTTCTCAAAGCAGAAACGGGGATCCCGCTTGATACTTCCTGGAAGCGACGACGCCCCAAAGTGGGGGGGGCTTCTGCGGCCCAGGAAATGATCGAATCAACGCCGAATGTGTTTTCACTTCCGATGTTTTGTTTCGGGGGGCATTTTCTAGATTTTGGAGCCTGTTTGGAAAGAAGGCCAGCGCTGCAGCGGGAGCGCGATTCGGA